ACGTCATACGCTCCAAACACGGCGCCCTGACCGGCACCCGCGCCGGCTCCCAGGCCGGCCCCGAGCGTAACCCCCAGCCCGGCTCGCCGCCCGGCGCCCTGACCGGCGCCTTTGCCGGCTCCCAGGCCGGCTCCCAGCCCGGTTCCCCACCTGGCGCACTGCTGCCTGGCGGCGCCCCCCCCGGCTCCGAGCACGGCTCCCAGACCAGCTCCGAGCCCGGCGCCCTGACCGGCACCCGCGCCGGCTGCCAGGCCGGCTCCGAGCACGGCCCCCAGACCAGCTCCGAGCCCGGCGCCCTGACCGGCGCCTTTGCCGGCTCCCAGTCCCGCTCCGAGTCCGGTCCCCAACCCGGCTGTTCTGAGCGCAGCACCTTTCTCGGCTCCGAGCCCGGCTCCCAATCCGGCGCCGAGCCTGGCGCCCTGCCTGGTGCCTCGCCAGGCCCCCAGTTTGGACACAGCACGCGAGTGTCCAACAGTCCGGGGGGCACGCGCTGTTACGACTCCTGTCGACTACGGCGCTCCCCCTCCCGCGACCGACGCCGCAGCAGCCAAAGCAATGATCACGTCCCGAGCCCTTGTGATCGGCCTCCCGGCTGTCTTCGACCTCAAGTTGACGTCTGTCGTCCACGATCCTTCGCTCTCGCTGCAGTCCCTGGCAGAAAGACTCAGACGCCGAAAGGCTTGCAATGGAACTTTGCAGCCACAGAGATTCACTACTTCCCTGTTCAGACCAAAATGCGTCGACACCGTACTTCCCCTAACCAGGGATATGTGGTCCACGTTCCTGATGTTCTTCCGGACCACTGGCTGCAGACCTCCGCGGATGCGCTCCAGGAGGCAATCGAGAACGCCATCCGTTTGACCGAGCGCCTGGACGACGACCTCGACACCTGCATGCCGCTTGTCCCAGCCGGGGCAGTGCAGCAGGGAATTGCAGCAGGGCTAGTGCAGCAGGGAACTGCAGCAGGGCTAGTGCAGCAGGGAACTGCAGCAGGGACCATGCAGCAGGAAACTGCAGCAAAGTCCCCCGCGGTTCTCGCACGGTCTTGGGTCTTGGATAGTGGTTCTGCGCACCACATCACAGACAAGGACGATTTGACTCAAGCTGAAACATGTGGTATTCGTCGTGGACATGAATACGTATTGGAAACAGCAAACGGCGATCGAGTTGTTAATGAGCACATCAATGTTTCTGTGCCTTCCATTAACTTGCACACAGGTTCTTTGGCTCTCAAAGGTTGTCCGTCTGTTATTTCCATGGGTCGTCTCGTCGAGGATGAGGATTGGACCATCCATTGGAGCAGAAAAGATGGGTGTGTTCTCTCACCACCTGATGGTGGACCATCACGGAAGGCCCCTGTTCGCGACTACATACCACACGTTGACGCCGATAACATGGAGTTAGTGTTTCCGCCTCCACCGAATCCGGGGGGGCACTGTCCGTGCTGCGGCGCCACGAAGGACCAGCCACGGCAAGGGGATGACTCAGCTCCGGCTCAAAAGCCGCATGCTTCTGTTACGTCTTCAAGGACACGCCCGGCTGCTGCTCCATCAGAGCATCTGGACACCAGAGCGCCCAGAGGATCTGGACACAGGAAGAGAAACCCACCTCCCCTGCCCCCGCGGCGCGGAACACGGGACTCTCCAGGAACGACCCGGCACGGAAAATCTCCCCGCTCCCAGGACTCTCCGGATCCGATTCGGCTGAAGAAATCCCGAAGCAGGAGCCCGCTGGCTCTGGCTAAGCCGTTGTTCTTTCGACAGACGGTCAAAATCAAGACCCCGGCTCTTAGTTCGGACCCCCCTGTGCTGGAGAGGCAGACGCCTCCCTCGCGTTCAGGTTGTTTTTGTGTCCTCCCTCGACAGCAGGTAGCCGCGAGCTCAGCCACCGCCGACCAGCCCGATCAGCCGGTCGATTGGGACCCCGATCGCCGATCGGACGCGGATCGATCGCTGGATCCCGGCCTCGGCTTCCATTCGCCCACTCTCGGTCCGGAGACCAGAGACGCCGTCGCTCTCCCGAGCGCCGATCGCGCGTGGTCTGACTACATAACAGATGTCATAAGGGGTGCTGCCCATCTGGACGCCGAAATTGCAGCGGGCAACCGCAGCGAGTACGGCGCAACGAAGGGCACGTCGAAAGGGGGAACGGAGGCCGACCCTGCCCCCCCTACACACCACAACTCCCCTTACGGTACATCATCTGGCGCGTCCTCGAGCCATGGTTCCGCCTCCTCTGGCGCCCCCATGGCGTGCCGCTGGTTCTGCCGCCGCTGATTACGCAGGCTCGGCAGTTGTACCTCATGGACATCAGAGCATACCAGCACCACATCATGATGGACGATGACATCTGCATACAATTTTGATGGCTTCCGAATTTCTTCTGATTTTTGACGTGCCTCTCACATCTTGGTCGATATCAAAACCATACTTGTCACCATGGACAGGCCCAGCTGTATATGAAAAGGTACCGCAACCAGCCTACTCACCATTTCTTGCAGCCGACGCCGAGAATTTGGTTGGAGCGATGGCATAAGTTTTGTGCGTTATCTCTGGGACGTTAGCTTCGCGATAGTAGAGCAGGTGACAACCTTATTATCGATTGCAGTCTTGACAAAACGGCCTAAAGAGCCACAAAGATGATTGTCTAGCATGTACTGTTGAAAATGCACAATTGCAAAAACATGTGAAAAAGCATAATTGCATAAATACACTTGATTCTTCATTACTGGTGCAAGACGTACAAGATTTTCTTGGAACTTGCGCATGCACTCTACTCCTCATATCACAATGTTTTGCTTTGGATTGGATCTGGCTCATTGCACACATCGTTGCATTCATGTCATGTGTTGCTTCGGGCACCGACCGTTTGGGTCGGTGTCATAAGAGCTCAGTCTCTCCATTCCACTTCTCTCCAGCCCACAGCACTGTCCTGGGTTCTATCTCGGCGGCAGGCGCTGTAAAACTTTGTTTGCGGGTTAGCGCCGCCGTTGGGTGCGAACCTTACGACAGAGTTTTGGCTGTCCCTTCTTTCCTTCCTGGGCTGAAGCAGTGGATTGCAGACAGGAGTTCAGTAGAGATTCACTCTCCTATCCCGATCCCCGCTTCGGTGCCTTTCGCCTTTGTGCGTGGGCATCGGGCGGGATCGGGACGGGGGGTGTGTGTGAATCCCCTTACTTTCCTCCTATCTTGCTCATATCCATCGCCCCTTTCGGCTCGGATGCAGGTACTCGTACTCAGAGGGTGAAGAGGACAACTTCCATCATCCTCATCACGTCTACCTACGGACACTTTGGGGGTGGGTTCGGCCCTTCGGTCCCCCTCCCCCTCACACACCTTCCCCAGGGCCGGGCCAGTTCTCCACCCGCGAGCAGCTCTGCGGATCTGGTCCCGGGACTGGGCGGGGGCTTCCCCCCGAGAGGCCGAGAGGCCGAAAGCGACGAACAACTCGAGTCCTGTCTTTTCCAGGCGTCGCATGTCTGGGTTCCCTTTTTGAGGCGTTCCTTTGCATGCACTTCGCCTTCGGCAGCGCCTGATTCCGGGGCTTTGCCCTCGCTTGGCCTTGACGTGAGGCCCCTCCCTTCTGCCTTCCTCCCTCTGTCAATCAAAGCTGTGCGCGGCCCGCTTCGCTTCGACCGGAAGAGGCTCGTTCTCGACCCGCGGATAAAAAAAAATTGGGTTCCCTTCCGTCAGGAGGGGGAAAGCATACACCGACACAATTCATCGTCGACCCCCAGGAAGATATGAGAAAACATGGGAAGTGGGGGGAAGACGAACACCCAGAACACATCTGGGGAAGTATGGGGAATCTTGTAATTTGTGTGTATTTATTTGTGTGCCTTGGGCCGGGCCCCCTGATTCATGTCTGGCGGGTCGGGTCACTCCGTCGGCCGACCAGGTGGCGGGGCGGTCGATCGGCCTCCCTCGGTCGGCAGGGTGCTCCGGGCCCGGTGGCGGAGGGTCGTGCGCTCCCCCTGCCCCGCTCTCTTGAGCACGCCTTGCCTCCGACGGGCCCGTCTTCCACCACCACCACCAGAAGTTGGAGGGGGAGGGGGTCCTCCTCCTCCTCCTCCTCCTCCTCCTCCTCCTCCTCCTCCTCCTCCTCCTGCTGCTCCTGCTTGTCCTCCTCGTCGTCCTTCTCCTCCTCCCTCCCTCCGACTTATGGTGGTGGTGGTGGTGGTGGTGGAAAGCATGGCCATCAGCTTCGCATTGCGCACCTGGACAGCCTGGGCCACGAGCGGGCCAGTGTGTGGGCCTGGACGATCCAAGCGCTGTCAAGCATCGACGCGCAGGCTGTTGATTACGAGACCTGCCGGCGCAGGATCCAACGAAGAAGGCACGCGATGCTCAACATTTTTTCGGAGCCTCCAGGTGGCGTTCTCGTCGCCACGTCATCGGGCCCGTCTCGAATTTCAAATCGAAACGCACCCACAATAACATGTCGGGTGGCGGACGAACATGTAAACCGAGGGCGAGAGCAAATAAGGAACGGGTAAGGGGACTTGACAGGAAACGGCCACACTCCAAAGACCAAAGAGGATGACGTCAAGTGCCAAACTATTCTAAGCTTGAAGGACCAAGGTGCGTGGCGCGAAGCGCTATCGCAGTCTTGAGTACAGATGTGTGCGAAAGTAAATGTATTTGTATGTACGTGTGTATGTAGATATGCGCTTTTGTGCGTCTCGTGTGTTCGAGCAGCCTCGCCTTCCTGTGTGGGCTTCGTGCTCATTCACAGTCCACTCGGGGGCTTCGGTCTTCGATCTCCTCCTCCTCGTCCTCCTCCTCCTCCTCCTCCTCCTCCTCCTCCTCTTCCTCCTTTTCGAATCAGTAGATAACCAATGAGGAGCAGGAGGTGGATGTGGGAGGGGGTTGGGCCCCCCCTCCTCCTCTTCCACCCCCTCTAACCAAGCAGCTAAGAAGGCGGTGGATGTGGACGGGTTGTGGAGGATGAGGGTCGGACTCTTCCGTCTCTGGAGGGGAAGGGGCGGTCGCGCTTCGAAGGTCCTGGTCTCGACGCTTGCGTGCCTGCTGGGCTGCTGCGGCGCTCTGATCCACAGGCCCGTGGTTGAGACCTCGTTCGACTCCTTCCTGAAGGCCCGCATTTTGCCGCGCCTTGTAGGGAGCACTGCGCCTTCGGGCGTGGGCCTGGGGAGAAGGATACGCGCAGCAACGGGCGCGGGAGCCGGCGAAAGAGGAGCAGACGGAGGAGAGGATCGGGATCGGGAGCAGCACGAGGAACACGGAGGAACATGAGCAAGCAGGAGGACGAAGATGTGGAGGGGCAGGCGGGAGGATCAGAAGTGGCAGGACGATGGCGGAGGAGGTGGGTAGAACGCGACGGGTGATGAGGAGCAGAGGGAGGAGGATCTTTGTGATGATGATCGTTGCTCTTCGGCAAGTTGATTCGGTTTCTGTTTCAGGAGCTCCTTGGTTCTGCCCTGCAGCGTTTGTTGGGATTTCGATCCGCTCGTGGTGCCCGTCCTGCAGCTTGGTGCAGGCGGTTTCGAGAGCTCGGGGTCTCTCGTCGACGATGATGGGTACGCCCTGGAGGCGATGACCAGCGTGGTTTTGGTCGGCCCGCTCGTCGTCTTCGAGGTCGTCCAGCTCCTCGTTCTCGCCACCGGCTTCCTGGACCTGCTCGAGGAGGTTCTGAGGCGGGTCGCCTGCAGGGCCGTCGCCTGGCTGGCGTGCGGGGCGGCTTGGGCCCCGTGGCCTTGCCTCGGCCCAAGGAGGCCGAGCACGGCCCTCCTGGGGCGGAGGGGGGGCCCAGACCTCTTGGCGGAGCTGGCCCGGGGATCCCGGCCGCCGCTGGGGCAGGCCGTGGGCAGCGCCCTGGAGCTATAGAAGGCTGCTGGGCCGCCCTCTCCTGGAGCCGCTCGAGGAGACTCTGAGGCGGGGCGCCTGCAGGGCCGTTGCCTGGCCGGCGTGCGGGGCGGCTTGGGCCCCTGTGGTCTTGCCTCGGCCCCTGGAGAGGCCGAGTGCGGCCTTCCTGGGGCGGCGTGGGGGCCCAGACCTCTTGGCCAGGGGGCCACATGCGAACCCTGCCCCCTACCCCCGACGATTTCAGAGGGGGAGGGTGGGGTTCACTTCGCTCGGGAGCTCCCGAGCGAGGTGAACCCCACCCCTACCCCCTCAGAAATCGTCGGGGGTAGGGGGCAGGGTTCGCATGTGGCCCCCTCTTGGCGGAGCTGGCCCGGGGATCCCGGCCGCCGCTGGGGCAGGCCGTGGCGCTCGCGGGCAGCGCCCTGGAGCTATAGAAGGCTGCTGGGCATCGCCCTCTCCTGGAAGGGCGGGCGGCTCGGACGGCGGCCGTGGCCGTGGGCTGCCGCGTCTGCGGGCGGGGCTGCGGCGGCCGAGCCCGGCGGGCTGCTCCCGGGATGGCCACGGGGGCGAAGTGGTTTTGGAGCGTGGCCTGGCGAGAAGCACAAAGGGCCCTGTCCAGCGCCCGTCTGCCGAGCATAGTCTTTGGGTGGAGGGCAACGGGTGAAATCTGAGATGCCGTCTCGACGGGTCTCGAGGCTTGCACCTGCAGAACGTGAGTCAGGAGACGGATTGGTTTTCGAGGTGCAGAAGCTCAGCTCACATGGATTTCACCCTGAGCCCTCCACCCTCAGAAAATGCCCAGGTTTGGCCTCGTTGTTTGGGTTGGCTTTGTGGTGCTTGCGGGCGGCCTGTTCAGGCGTGTCTTGGCGAGACCCCTCCCCGCCTCGGGTCTCTTTGCGAACGCCGTCGGCAGGTGCCGCTCCCGAAAACTTCTCAGTGAGCAATTCCTGGAAGGTCTCGGCGGCTGTGGTGGCCTCCGCTGTGTGTATGGAGATGCGTATCCACGGGACGTTGAGAGACAGGTCGAGCGTGACCCTGGCCTTGTTCTGACGGCGTTCGACCTCGGTGGTGCCGTGCCGAATCGGTAAACCGTTTCGTCCGCGCGTGCCGCCCGGGCATTGGCGGCAGCAGCGCTGCAGCGCAGGGCGGGGATGGTCATCCCGGTCCTGTGGTAAGGGATGCTCCTGGAGCGCGGGCCCGTGGTCGCCCGTGGCTGGTCTCGTTTGTGAAGTTTGGTCTGGCAGGTCTCCGTGACCGTGTATGGAGATGTCGCTGCGAAGCGCTTCCCCGCCAGGGCTGCGTGTTGGTTGATCAACGGCGGGCGCGGACCAGTCGGCCGCGTCGAGGTTCGTAAGTGTGTTTTTTTCTTGGTGAAGTCAGCTCGGCTGTCTTAGCGCTGAGGCTCGTCCACGGGCTGAGAGACCCTTCTGTGTCCCGTGGTGGACCCCTGTTCAGCTGACCCTTGTGCCGGCTGCACAGGCCCTGGCTGGCCTTCGTCCTGCTGGGCCGGAGGCCGTGTCCGCGGCAGCTGCGCTCTGGACCATCCGCGGTGAAGAAGTGGACCGCTCGCTCGTGCGCGGCCGTGGCACGATCGGAGCCCGCGGCCTCGAGGGCCTCGGCGCTGGCATCGCGCCGAGCGAGAGGATCCTGTCCCTGCGACCCCTGAGCGAGGCTCGCTGGCGGCGCCGCGGGTGGCACGCGGGGCGCGCCGGGCGGCCACTGCGGCACGCGCGGGGAGCGCAGGGGGGAGAGGGCAGGCCGCTGCGGAGGGCACGGCGGCGGGGCGGCCGGCCAGCCCCGCCAGGGCAGGGAGGCGCGGGGCGGGCGGCGGGCGCAGGGACGCGAGGGGGGCCTTGAGCCCAGAGGATGCGGAGAGGGAGAGGCAGAGAAAGAGAGAGAGAGAGAGAGAAAGAGAGCGAGGGAGAGAGAGAGAGAGAGAGAGAGAGAGAGCCAGAGGGAGAGGGAGAGGGAGAGGGAGAGAGGCACAGATACAGAGGCACAGCGGACGAGGGAGAGAGAGAGGGAGGGAGAGAGAGAGAACCAAGGACCGAGGGGAAGAGGAGGGAGGAGGGATGGAGAGGGTGGAAGAGGAGCAGGAGGAGGAGGGGAGAAGAGGAGGAGGGGGAGGAGGAGGAGAAGGAGGAGGAGGAGGAGGAAGATGAGGAGGAGGAGGAGGAGCAGGAGAAGGATGAGAGGGAGGAGGAGGAGGAGGAGGAGGAGCAGGAAGAAGAGCAAGGAGGAGCAGGGAAGATGATGGCGACGATGGCGTGATGACGTCGATGACGATGACGATGCTGATGCTGATGCTGATGATGATGATGATGATAATGATGATGATAATCGGATGATGGTGACGGTGATGGTGATGGTGATGATGATGATGATGATGATGATGATGATGATGACGCTGATGATGATGTTGATGAATATGACGGTGATGCTAATGATGGTGATGCTGCTGATGATGCTGCTGCTGCTGATGATGATGATGATGGCGGTGCTGGTGCTGCTGAATCTGATGGTGCTGATGACGATGTTGCTGCTGCTGTTGATGATGGTGATGGTGATGGCGATGGTGATGATGATGGCGATGATGCTGCTGATGATGATAGTAGTGCTGATGATGTTGCGGCTGATGCTGGTACAGGTGATGACGCTGGTGAAGACGGTGAAGGTGATGGTGACGGTGTTTGCGATGATGGTGAGCATGCTAAGAATGGTGATGATGCTGGTGATGTTGATGATGGAAACGACGATGCTGCTGATGATGATATTGTGTATGATGATGTCGACGATGGCGTGATGTCGCAACTGACGATGACGATGACGATGCCGACGATGACGATGATGACGATGATGATGCTGCTGATGATGATGAGTCTGGTGATGGTTATGGTGATGATTATGATGATGTTGGTGATGCTGCTGCTGTTGTTAGTGATGATGATGGTGATGAAGATGGTGACGACGATGTTGACGCTCATAGTGCGACTGATGAACTTGACAATTGTGTTGATGAAGCTAGCTACCATGATGACGACAATGACGTGCTGACGACGATGGAGATGCCGATGATCATGATGAGGATGGCGATGCTGATGAGGATGCGGCGGATGATGATGATAACGATGATGATGATGCTGATGATGATGATGATGCTGATGGTGATGATGCTGCTGATGATGAGGGCGAATATGCTGGTGATGCTGAAGTCTATGCGGATGCCGCTGCAGGTGCTGATGCGGTTACTGACGACAGTTTTGAAGATGATGATGGTGCTGATGGTGTTGCTGCTGATGATGATGATGACGATACTGGTACTGATGATGATGATGGTGATGCTGCTGCTGCTGATGATGATGATGATGCTGATGCTGATGGTGATGATGATGCTGATGATGATGGTGATGATGATAATGATGATGAGGTTGACGATGATGGTGATATTGCTGTTATACTGAGAATGGTGATGATGGTGATGATGCTGCTGCTGCTGATGATGATGATGATGTTGATGGTGACGATGATGAGGCGGAGTTGGATGAGGAGGAGAAGGAGGAGGGAAGACGGGAGGATGGGCGAACGGCGAGGACGGAGGATGAGGGAGGGTAGAGGAGCGGGGTGGAGCAAGGAGGTGGGAGGGGAGGGAGGAGTGAAGGACGATAACGAGGAAGAGGAAGTTGGAGAGGAAGGGGATCGCGAGGGTGACGAGGAGGAGAGGGGAGGAAGGATCGGAGGATGAGAGGGGCGAGCTGTGACACAGTTGTGATTGAGAAGGAGAATGTTGAGGTTGAGATGGATTGCCAGATGGAGGATTCGGACTCCGATGAGCTCTCGTCCCTCGAGGCGACTCAGGATTCGTTCGGGCTTTTATGGTTATACCAAACGCTTTCAGACGATCCCTCAGCATGCCCACTGATAACCCAACAAGAGCTACCAACATCGGAGAGGCAGGTCATAATTGAAGCGCGTTCAACAGACGGGGCCATTCGTTCTCCGTGAGTAAGGTTGGCGATGGCGAGGGCGATGATTACGATGACGGTCTAGTGATGCCGCCCTCCTGATGACACCACTGCGGATATGACGAACTTTGTGCTTCAACTCTCTCGTACGGAGCTCACGCCGTCCAGGCAGGAGGTGGTCTCGCAGCAATCTGCATAGTTAGGTGGCCGTTTGGGGGGGACCCTCGAGTAGCAGGAAGAGGAGGCTGACGGCTGTATTGGGTTAGGGACTCCTTGCCACCAGATCCGCAGCAGCATACTGGGTGTCTCCTTTCTCTGCAGCACCAGCTTTGCCTTCCCAGTGTCCCCGGTGTTCTCTCTCGTGCCTGCCTGTCGCTATTGCTGTTGTGTGCACCACGCTGTGTTCCGCTCGGTGTGCGGGACGAGACGCTGCGGCCTCGGTGTCCCCTGGGAAGCAGCGCAAAAGAGGAGGGGGGCCAGGCTGACGTGAACGCGTCGGTCAGCTGGGACAACTTCCTCGCTGCCAGGGCGCAAAGGCCGACCGTCGGCCGGCGACTCTCCGATGCCGTTGGCGACACGTCCACCGTCCAGAAGGACCTCGTCTTCGCCTACGAGCTGGGAGAGACGCTGGAAGGCTAGGGCCACCACGAGGGTGCGAAGTTTTCCGCGCTTCGCGGTCTGGGCGATTTCAAAGTGAGGCTTGAGTCCCTCACCCTGTCCCTGGGGTGGGGGGCGTCGCGGAAGCGCGAAGGTAATCGCGCGGAGCGCAAATCGCGAAGATAGTTGCCCTCGGATAATGTTGCAACTCTTGGGAGGTTGAATTCGGCAACGGCCCTATCAGGGCCCATTTCGATCTGATCGATCCGATATGATCCGTGAGGTCTTCGCCCACTGCCGCCAGCCCCCTCTCTATCATAATGGGACATATGTATATATATATATATATATACATATACATATATATTTATAAAAGACTGCATTGGCGCTTCGCGCCATGCACCTTGGTTCTTAAAGCTCGGCATGCAGGATTACCAAATATAGCGATGATGCATTGTTGCCGTTTGCGCCATCGTCGTTATAGTAATGTTATGTATTATCCTTATACTTCCTCTCCTCTTACTCGTAATCTTCCTTGTCTGCGAGCCACTCCTTGTCTTCATCCCCAGTTTTTATTGCAGGGGCTCCTCTTTGGAGGTGTTCTTGGGCCCCTCTCAAAAGCTTTTTGGGGACCTCTGGGGGCCTCCTGGGCGCCTTTTGGGGGCCTCTGGGGGCTTCTTGCGGCCACCTTGCTACCAACCACGGTCTCCCTGAACGACCGGGTCACGATTTGGAGTGCTTCGGGAGGCGTCTTGGGGCCATCTGGGGCTGTCAGCGGGGCTCTCTTGGGGCCATCTTGCGGCCCTGTTGGACCATATTGGAGCTCTTTTGGACTGTCTGGAAGCCCTTTGACACCGTTGTGGGAGGATTTTTGGGGCCTCTTCGGCGGACTCGGACGCACGGAATACCGAAGAACCGAATGTCCAAAAATTCAATAAAAAAACTAAAGGAAAGTGTTGTTTTTTGCACTTGGAGGACCTCTTGGGGGTCTTCTTTGGGTCGTCTTCGGGCGTCTTGGGGCTGTCTGGGGCCGCGTGGGGCTCTCGCGGGGCCGTTTGGCCGCCCTCCTGACCGCTTTGGGCCCGCTGGCAAGGCCCGGCAGGGGCGTCCAGGAGGCCCGGAAGGCCCGGGGGACCCATTGCAAGGCGTCCAGGGGGCCCCAAAAGCGCCAGATCCCGGGGGTCCGATTTTCCGGGGGGGGGGGGGTCCCACCCCCCCGGATTGTAAAAATATAGAAAAGGGATATATATATATATATTATATATATATATAATATATATATAACATAGTCGCGTCGGTGCGTCTCGGCCATGCCTTGGCGCATCTGGGAACATCATGCGGGGGCGGATAGGAATCATCAGTGCATATTGAGACGTTGGCGTTATCGAAGACGGCTACGGCGAATCACCGCCGCCCCCTGCCTTTTTGGAGGCGCCTATGTGGCGGAACGTTGAGGCCAGGCCTGCCAAGCTATCGGACCATGTGTTCCCCGAATCGGTCTGGAAAGCCTTCGGGGAACACGCGGGCATCTTGAAGGTCATCTTGGCCGCCTGGAGGCCATTTCGACCCTTTCGGGCCTTCTTGGAGGACGTCTTGGAGGGCTCTTGGGCCGTCTTGGAGGCCATCTTGAGCGTCTTGGTGTCTTGGGCCTCTTGGGCAATCTGTGGGGGCATCACAATCCTTCAAACATCCATGGGGAATCAATGATTTTGGCCTTTTCGGGCCTTCCTGGAGGCCCTCTTGGAGGCCTCTTGGGCAGTCTTGGGCCATCTTAGGGTCATCTTCGGCCGTCTTCGCGGGCTCCTGGTCCGTGTGACGCCGTCGGAAGCCGTTTGGGGGGTCTATATGGGCCGACTTGGGGCCCTCTTGGAATGCTCCAGGGCCATCTTGGAGGCCATCTTCGGCGTCTTAAAGGCGTCCTGTGCCGTCTTGGGGGCCTCTTGGGGCCGTCTTGGGGCCCTCGTGGGCCGTTCTGGGGCCATCTTGGAGGCCTCTTGGGCGATCTTTCGGCGATCTTTGGGGGCTCTTGGGCCGTCTGGGTCCGTCGGAAGGCCGAACAGACGCAAATGTCAAAATTAGTCAAAAATCTTAGGGCAATCAAGGTGTTTGGCCTCTTCTGGTCTTCCTGGAGGCCCTCTTGGGGGTCTCTTGGGCCGTCTTGGGCCAGCTTCGAGCCAACTTCGGCCATCTTGATGGGTTCCTGGCAAGTCTGACGCCGTCGGGAGCCGTCTTGGGGGCCTTTCTGGGCCGACTTGGGGCCCTCTTGGGGCGCTTCGGGGCCGTCTTGGAGGCCATCTTGGGCGTCTTGGAGGCCATCTTGGGCGTTTTTGAAGCCTCTTGGGCCGTCTTGGAGCCCTCTTGGGGCTGTCTTGGAGGCCACTTGGGCCGTCTTGGAGGCCTCTTGGGCGATCTTGGAGCGATCTTGGGGGCCTCTTGGGCCGTCTTGGGCTGTCGGAAAGCCGAAAATGCGCAAATGCCAAAATCTTCCCAAAAAGACAACTTTTTAGGAACATCAAGGATTTTGGCCTCGTCGGGCCTTTCTGGAGGACGTCTTGGAGGGCTCTTGGGCCGTCTTGGAGGCCTCTTGCGGGCCTTTTGGGCCGTCGTAGACCATTTTGAGGCCATCTTGGGCCGTCTTCGGTGCATCTTGGAGCCATCTTAGACGTCTTTGAGACCATCTTGGCTGTCTGGGAGGCATCTTGGAGGCCATCCTGGGCCATCTTGGCCGTCTGGGAGACCATCTTGGGCCAACTTGGGGCAACAAAGGCATTGACGGACGGATTTTCTGGAATCTTCGGGGACCCCGGCGGGACGGGCCGAAGCCCCAGGGGGAGTTCAAACCATTAGTTTGGCACGCCAGGCGCCCCTTTGATACATCAAAAGGGGGCGGCGGATCGAAGACGGCCACGGCGAATCACCACCGCCCCCTGCCTTCTTGGAAGCGCCTAGGTGGCCGATCGTGGAGGCCAGACCTGCCAAGCTATCGGACCATGTGTTCCCCGAATCGGTTTGGAAAGCCTTCGGGGAACACGTGGGCATCTTGAAGATCATCTTGGCCGTCTGGAGGCCATTTTGACCCTTTCGGGCCTTCTTGGAGGACGTCTTGGAGGGCTCTTGGACCGTCTGGGAGGCCATCTTGAGCATCTTGGAGACCTCTTGGGCCGTCTTGGGGGCCTCTTGGGGCCGTTTCTTGGGCCTCTTGGGCGATCTTTGGGGGCAAGTGGGCCGTCTCGGGCCGTCGGAAGGCAGAACCAAAAGCAAATGCCAGAATCCTTCAAAAACCAAAGGAATCAATGATTTCGGCCTCTTCGGGCCCTCCTGGAGGACCTCTTGAAGGCCTCTTGGGCCGTCTGGGAGGCCTCTGGGGGGTCTCTTGGGCCGTCTTGGACTCTCTTGGGCCGTCTTGGAGGCCGTCTTGGACCATCTTGGGCAGACTTGGAGGCCATCTTGGGCCATCTTCGCGATTTGTTGAGGATCTTCCGAGCGAAACGGCCGTTTCAGGGAGGATGTTTTCGGGACTTTGCGGTCCTGGAAGAGCCTCCGGGGACCCCGGCTGGACGGGCCGGAGCGCCAGGGGGAGGTCTTTTGGAAAAAGAACCAAAACCAAAACCGAGAGGGTCCAGCACGCCAGGCACCCCTGCGATGAATCGACAGGGGGCGGCGGATTCTAGCGGCCTTCGGCCCAGCCCGCCACCGTGTCTGGGTTGTGGGTCTGAGGCCTTTTGTATGTGTTGGGGTGTCGTGGGGAGCCTCTCGGGGGTCTGTTACCGTCTCGGTTTCGGCGCCTCTTGAGAGCCTCTTGGGGCCTCGTGGGGTATCTTTTGGGCGTCTTGGAGGCCTCTTTGGCACGTCTTGTGCGCCTTTTGGAGCTTCTTGCGGCCTCCTGGGGGCGTCTCGGGGCTTCTCGGAGCGCTTCTTGGGCCATCTTGGAGCCCTATCGGGCCGTCTTGGGGCCCTCTTGGAGGCGTCTTGGGCTGCCTTGGGGTGGCCTTGGGAGCTTCTTGAGCCATCTTGGAGCGTCGGAAAGCCGAAAATGCGAGAACCCCAAACTCCTTCAAAACCTTTTTGTAACATCGACGATGCTGGCCTCTTGGGCTCTCTCGGGAGGCCTCTTGGAGCGCTCTTGAGACTCATTGGGGCCCTCTTGGGCCGTCTTGGAACCATCTTCGGGCGCCTTGGAGCACTCTTGGCCTCGGCAGTACGGATATGGCGCAATTTGCAATGGCATATGGCCACGTGGACGCGAATATGGAATTTTACCAGGGTTTGTTGCCTCGGGGGCGCAAGAATTTAGCAACTCGCTAGGGTTTGTGGCTTCGGGGGCGCATTTTGTAATGTACAAAGGATTTTGGTGTGGGGGACGCGACAATTGAACAAGTTGCCATGGTTTGTGGCCTCGGGGACACGGATACTGCATACTTTACAGCGGATTCTGGCTTCGGGGACGCGAATCTTGCGTAATTGACGATGGTTTGTTGCCTCGGTGGCGCAATATTTGATTACTTTGTAAAGGTTTGTTGCTTCGGGGGCGCAAGCATTGAACACTTTGCGACGGTTGATGGCCTTGGGGGCGCGAGCATTGTATAATTTACAATGGTTTGTTGCCTCGGAGACGCGCAAATTGTATAATTTGCTAGAGTTTCTGGCTTCGGGGACACGAACATCGCAATTTACGAGGGATCGTGGCCTCGGGGGCGCAACTGTGGCGCAACTTACGGGGGATCGTGGCCACATGGCCGCGAACGTTGTGTAATGTACGGGAGATCGTGGCTCTTGGGGCGCGAATAGGCGGTATTTTGAAAAAGGATCGTGGTTTCGGGGACGCGAACGCGATGCAATTTGCAAAGGATCGTGGCCTCGGGGACGCGAATACAGAGTAATTTGCGAAGGATCATTGCGTCGGGAGCGCGAATCTCATGTATTTTACGTGTCTCACGGCCCCGCAGGAATTCAGAGCACGCGATTCGGGGAGGGTAACCGAACGTTTTTCGGCTCCCCCCCTTGCGCGGACTTCAACAACTTAGAGTAGACACCAGAAAGCAGGACTGTAACATTGGAGACTGGAAACTGGAACTGGTGCAGGGTACTGAAACCTAACCCTCGCAGCCTGATGGCCCCACAGGGGGGCCGGCGGATATCGGGTCAGGCCAGCACGATCCGATTCGATGTCGATACTTCCTACCATCCGATGCGGCCCGATATTCGCATAGCGTCGTTGTTCTTGGCGCGGCCGATCCGATTCGATTCAATTTGACTCCGACTCCGTGCCGATGCAGCTCGATCCGACGCGCGTTTCGAATCTATCCGATTTCCTTGCTCGATCCTACCCTGGTTCACTCTTGGATGAAATGCGGCTTCATCTGGCCGAGTCCTGGGCTCAGCCTGGTCCGTTCCACCATGAGGGACGCCACCACCTCTGGCAGATCTGGCTTGGCAGGCATTGGTCGAGCCCACGGCTGCCTTCACGAGCGACAGAGACGCCCACGTCGGTGCGCTCGCGGGCCGGGCACCTGGGCTCGATCCCATGGCTACGCCCCGCGCGGGGCATCTGCGCAAAACCACCTCGTGTCCGTGGGGTCGCGGCCGAGGAGGCCGGCACCGCGTGGCCGCGGATGATATCCGAGGCCACCCGGGGAACGAGTCCAGAGCATATGGACTCGTGCCCCGCCCACGAGACCTCCCCGGAGCGGCCCCTCCGAAGGCGGGATGCTGCACAGGCGCGCCCTGGGCGCCGTGGCGGACTTCGAGAGGAGGGTGCGCGGGAAGGAGGCGTGGCAGAGGCTCTGCGGCCAGACGGCCGAGGCGACGAGGAGCGGAGCCCCTTGCGTGCCCAGCCTCCCTCACGAGAGACCCGTGCATCGAGGCCTCCCCAATAGGGTCCGAGCAGATGGGGTCGCAGGATCGCGCCGATGCACCGCCGATGCGGCTCGATGTGGAGCCCGATTTGCCGTACGCCGACGTCGCCGGTGTATCGCCGACGTCGCCGAGGCATCGCCGATGCGTCGGCGATGCATCGGCTGCGCGGCGCGATCCCCCGTCCCCATCTACTCGGACCCCGTTTGGGAGGCCGCTATTGCGCCGACCCTGCCCCGAGGCTCCGATGGCGTCCAGCAGGAGGCCGAGTAAGAGCCGCACGGGCACCGAGCTCTCCGCGGTTTCGCGCGGGGCTCGCGGTGTCGGCGCCGGGCCCTCCTCCCTGCACCCCCGGAGTCGCCTCTGGCGCCGTCGCCTGCTCGCTCCGCGCGCCGTGGAACCAGGAGGAAGGGGGACGAGGAGGAGGGGGAGGAGGAGGAGGAGGAGGAGGAGGAGGAGGAGGAGGAGGAGGAGGAGGAGGATGGACTGAGGAGGGACTGAGGAGGGACTGAGGAGGGACTGAGGAGGGACTGAGGAAGGATTCAGGAGTCTCCAGCGCCATACCAAGAAATCCGCGCTGACCTCCGAAAGGTTCGCTCCTATTTGTAAGTTGTTTGTTCGTTGGTTAGTTTGTTGTGTTTATGGTTGTTGTATTTGTTTGCTCTCCCATCCATGCGACAGATACGGGCACTGGCGGAGATGCTGGCTCGGGCTCGTGCTCGGGATGCCGGTGTCGGCGGGCCGGGGAAGCTTGCAGCGGCCAGCCAGACCCGGTGGCCTGGAAGGGCCCGACGCCCTCGCTTTTCCCGTCTGTGGCGTTCCTTGAACGCCGCTGACTGCGACCTGATGGTGGTGATGACGACGACGAGGACGCCGACATCATACTTACGACGATGATGTTGCTGCTGTTGGTGACGACGGCGACGATCATGATTATTATGAAGATGGTGATTGCTCTGATCACGATGCCGATGATGACCTGCCTGTGATGATGAGGATGTTGACGGTGGTGGTGCCTTGAGATGATGCTTCCCCTGGGACGCAAAGGATTTGTACACCGCGCTTCTTCCTGGGAGGTTGTCGCTGTCCCAGGCGGGGATGGGGGTCAATCAGCGTGCATTACACCCTGGGCGATGCTGAAGAAAACTTACGTTTTCGGCCAGAGTTTCGATTATTCTTAATGTTTCAATGTAAATCCCAAGATTTTAATAGAAGTTCTGGGTTTCTTTTCACATTCTGAGATTATGATTTTCTTAACCCATGATTTCTAGAGCATTTCGCAGGATGTAGTTGTCTGTGCGCGTTTGTGTGTGTGTGTGTGTGTGTGCAGCGCACCTGCACGCGCCCTACTGCTTCAGAGCCGCCCGCCGCACGCCGCCTGCGAGACGTGCATCACCTGATGGGGGCCGTGCTCCCGTCTCCTCCCTCTGCGGCCGCCGCCGGTTCCCCCTTTTTTCTTTTTTTTTTTTCGGGGGTGGACAGAACCCCCAACAGTGACATGTCGATTAGTGAATTGTCCGTTTTCGGTTCTCGAGAGGGCGCCGCGGCCGTTATTTTCCAGGCTTGCGCCCGCCAGGTTTGGGCCCGAGGTCGTTTTCACTAAACCAGGTTTTACTATGGGAGTCTGTCCATCCCCGATTTTTGCGGCGCAGGAAGTTCCCGCATCACGCCAGGGTAGAAACCCAAACAGCTTATCTTATTCAGTTGTCGCATGCGCTCCACGTCCGCCCTCTCATTCCCTCCCTCCATCTCACACTTTCTGCCTCTCTGCTCGATGTCCTTTCTTTCCGTATGCGCTCAGCTTATTGGATATGTCCTCATTCTTCGCTCGTCATTCTACTGTCCCAGGCCAATTCCCAACTTTCTATATGTTTATGTTTGCGCGTGTTTCTTTAATATTGTCCCAGACCCATTGCCAGAACTATTCCCAACTGTCTGTGTGTGTGTGTGTTCTTCTCTCTCTCTCTCTCTCTTGTTGTGTGTGCGTCTCTCTCTCTCTCTCTCTCCATCTCTCTTGTTTGTTATGTTTTTTCCCTCTCTCTCTCTCTTGTCCGCTCTCTCTCTCTCTCTCTCTCTCGCCCCCATATGCACATTTTTCTTATCTACAAATATAGACATCCAATTTCGCCTCATGCTTTTTGATTTTTATTCGCTAAACTATATACCCTCTCAATCTGGCCTTCCATGTTTCAACATCGCATCCAGAAGTGATCGCACATTGTCTTGCTCTCTCTCTCTCTCTCTCTTTCTGCCTCTCTCCTTCTATCGCTCTCTACTCTGTCTCTCTTCCTCTCTGTTATCTGTACTACTTTGCTTACTCTGTATACCCATAAGGGCCGATCTACCCTCTATATCCTCGAACCTTTCTTCTCTATCCTCTCTGAATACCCATGTTTTCTCTCACATCTGATGTCTCCACGCTCTACTAGATATACACACACTTCCAAGAGGGCCCTGGTGGCAAACGCCCGGGACATCTCCAGAACCTGAACATTCCACCGCACCATGAGCCCTGCATCCGGAACCAGGAGCCTGGGAGACCGGCCGCCCACGGAGGAACCCCAAGCCGCGAACCTTGGAACCGGGCCGCCCAAGAATATCGGGCCCGCCATTTTCTCTTACTCTGTCAGTCTCCATCCAGCGCAAGCCCTGAAAGGGGAACAGCCCTCTCTTCCCACTGTCTACTTACTGTTTTTCCCAACCATCACGTGGTGTTGGGTCCTCGTTTGGCGCCCCGCGTCCACTCCCTTCCTCCTCCTGCTACATCGCCTGTGCCCTCCTCATGTGTCTGTTACGCACACCCCTCACACGTGTCGTGGCCCCACACGGAGCTCCACCGAAGGCCCTAGTGGCATACGTCCCGTGGTCCCACACGGAGCTCCACCGAAGGCCCCAGTGGCAGCGCCCGCATGGCACCACCGCACTCGTTTCGGCACACTCCTCGCACGTCTCGGCCTCAGTGGCAGCACATCCACCGAAGGCCCCAGTGGTAGCGCACGCATGGCACCACCGCACCCGTTTCGGCACACCCCTCGCACGTCTCGTGGCCCCACGGGGAGCTTGACCGAAGGCGCCAGTGGCAGCGCTCGCCTGGCACCACCGCACCTGTTTCAACACACCCCTCACTCGTTGCGTGGCCCCATAGGGACCTCCGCCGACGTTCCCAGTGGCAGCGCACGCATGGCACCACCGCACCCGTTCCCGCACACCCCTCACGCGTCTCGTGGCCCCATCGGGAGCTCCACGGAAGGCCACAGTTGCAGCGTCCGCATGGCACCACCGCACCCGTTTCGGCGCACCCCTCCCGTGGCCCCACGAAGAGCTCCACCAAAGTCCCCAGTAGCAGCGCACGCATGGCACCACCGCACCCGTTTCGCGGCACACCTCGCACGGTTCGTGACCCGTGTCCCCACAAGGAGCTCCACCGGAGGCCCCAGTGGCAGCGCCCGCACTGCGTCACTGCACCCGTTCTTGCACACCCCTCACACGTTACGTGGCCCCCCAAAACAAATCCATCGAACGCGGTCGGTACCCACATCGCGGCTCTTACAACTGCATATTGTTGAATCTTTCGCCCACATATCCGGAGTATGTTGATGAGTTTCCGCACGATTTTTCCCTTTTCCTCTCTCTGCTCGCGTGCTCTTCTTCTTTTTCGTGTCACCCATTCGGTCGTATGGCATCAGCACCGATTGCATCATCACCTCGCTATGCTCTCTGTTCGGTATTGCAGGTATATATCTATATAATTTACATGTGTATATATAAATATCGGCATGTGTATATATATATATATGTGTGTGTATGGCTATAATTGTAAGTGTACGTTCCTCGAGCGTGCCATCTCTCAATTATGCTCTCTAGCCTGCGTCATGCACTCTTCACGGTTTATTATGCACTCTTCACGGTTTATCATTTATTCTATCATCTTGGCCATGGCCGTAAGGACCTCTGGGCACTTGGTTGCAACCAGTAGTGCGCAATCCTGGGAACGGTATGACGCTGGGAGTTCCAGACCTGGAACAGAGATCCCGCGAACCTGGCCGCCTACCGAAGTCGGCCTGGAACCTAGAACTGGGACGCACGGGAACCCACGACCAGGAAACCAGGAACCCCGCCGCCGACCGACTCCGGCACCGTGCAGTCGCAGTCGGTTTCAAGATTCACGAAAGGGCCCCCTCGGTGCACGCGGCTGACTGGGGAGTCGTATCCCCGTGCCCGCCCGACCGAGCTGCGCGAGCGCCAGGTCCGCGACAAAAGTATGCGGGGGCTTCTGGGCGACTGCCGTGCCTCTCATAATTAGGCGTTTCCCACCCTCACATCACCTTCGTCGTAGTATCGTGGGTCAGGGCCCTGGCAAGATGCCCCTCGTGCCGTGCCCCTCTTGCCGACTGTAGTGAGGCGGAGGTTGATGCCGGTGAGCAGTCTACACGCGCTTCACATGCATCCGGGCAACGGTCCTCGTTTGACATTGTGGCGCGAGCACACACGTATTATCTCCGCCCCCCGTGCCCCCCCTTCCCTGTCTCAGTGCATTTGTGTTTGACAGCGTGGCCCCGAAGAGTCAGTTCTTGTATCCTTGCTATTCAGGGTGTGTGGTGCAGGCTATTTTGTGCATACTACGTGGTCCAGTGTTTTTCCCTGCATGCTACGTGATCCTTGCTATGTGCGGTATATCTAGGTAGCGCGATATTGTGCAACCCATGCTGTGCACCTCATGCGGTGCAAGATGTATGGTGCGATCTTCATGATGCAGTCTACGTGGTGCATGTTTGGTGGTGCATGATATGCGGTGTGAGCTGTATGGTGCAATCTGCTTTGTGCAATCCACGATGACAAGTTTGAAGTCGTCAATTCTAGCGCCTGCGCAAACAGCCCGCCCTCCCACCGGCAATTTGTCGAGTAAAGCCACGTATTCGGTCACGATTGCGTTTTCCGATTGGAGTACGCTAGCGCGTCTCTACGGCCGCGCTGGCACGCTTACGCTTGCGCGCAGAGCGACCAACTGGGTTGGCGCAGCTGATTCGGTTGATTCCGTTGTGATGGCACTTACCGGTGGGAACTCCCCAGCGCGTATTGAAGCCGCGCTTGGCGCGCGGTGCGGGTTGGTGATCTGGGCGGACGCGACCATATGATGTCGTCGACAACGGCGGCAACGATGATGATACTAGCGATGGTGGTGGCGATGATTACGATGACGACGACAAGGCCAATGACGGCGCCGATGGCGGAGACGACGATGTCAATGACGATGTCCATGTAAGGGTGTTGAAGATGATTGCGACGATATGGCAGAAATGGCGGCGATTGACGGTGACAGTAACGGTGGTGATGCGATGGCGCTGATGAGGGTGGTGAGGGAGTGAAGTTTAACACAGTTGGCAGGCCTTTTGATGAATTACCTGTTGTTTCTCATACGAGTCCGGCACCCATGGTGTTAGAAGGATTTCGACACGCGCGCGTGGCGGCGCGCGCATGTGAGCCGCATTGTATTATGCGTGATACGCATTTCTGCACTGTACTCGTGCTAGTTCAACGCGGGTGCACCACGTGATGAGGTGAGAATGCGGGTTCTGGACGAGGTTGCGTGAATCACACCGTGTCTCCATGATTTCTGCAAGTGCGTGCTGGCAGAATATCCGCAGATTGTGCTGAATCGCCATTTTCTGTGAACAAGATCTGCCTACGTGGGAACGTTTGCATAACTATATGTGCGTGGGTTGGTTTCGACATGCGCGCGCGTTTGTGGACTGCTTGGTGTTTTAGGCACGGGATTATCTGACCAGATGCTTGGAGATAAACAAGTGCGCGCGCATGTGATTTGTTGGCACGGATGACGCGGGGGGTCGATACAAAGGCCCGTCTGGAATGGCATGATTTCGCTTGGAAAATTCACGATACACCAGGATCAGGTGTACATTGTATTATACAAGGGGAAGCGATAAGTCCGTGTTCGGCAGGATGGTAGGGTTGATTCTTCTTTTGAGCGGAGGGAAATGGCTGCAAGCGATGTAGTGTTCGCTGTGGTGCTTGCAATGTGGTGAAATATGGGGTGTCAGAATTATTGTCCAAGCTTTGCGGCGGAATCTACGTCGTGACAGCTTATGTTTGCTCACCGGGCGAAGCCCCGGCACACCCACGCCACACGAGGCGACCACGAAACGCCCACGGGCGCCCGCCAAGCGAAGCCCCGACTCATCCACCCGATTGTCCAGAACATCGAGCAACCGCCCCTCAGCGCAAGCAGCACATAGCGCAAGCAGCCCCTCGCTCGTATGTGCTCCAGCGGTTCAAGTCTACCGATCGAGGGCGTTCCAGCGTGGCCCTGCGTCCTCCCAGCAGCCCGGGGGCTGTGCTCCACCAGCGCCTGCTTTCTATCGAGCGATGTCGGCGTTCTTCGAGCAGCCAGTGGCCTTCACGGCTTCCGCCTCTGCCGCCACCAGATTCGTCGTGGGTCGAGTGGTTGATCGGTTGGCCGATTCGCCGCCGTTCGCCGTCGTCGCCGGCGTCGCCGCTGGCGCCCTCGCCAGCGCCGTCGTCGTCGCCACCCGACGTCGCCCCCGTCCCTGCCTCTTCCACTGCCGCTGCCGTCGTCGTCGTCGGTGCCTGTGCTGGCGCCATCGCCACCGCCGCCGCCTCCGCTGCCATAGCCGCCACGGCCGAGTCAAAGGTTCTCCCTTGCGAACCATGTTCTTGTGGACGACGATCACTGGAGTAAGCACGTTGCCAAATAATTTCCAGAAGTCTGAAACATGTTTAAAACATGTCCTAAACATGTGCGCAAACATGTTTTGTATAAAAAAGTATGCTTAGAACATGGTTCGAAGATCTTAAACACAATTTTAAGCCAATGATCGGATTGTTAGGGTGTCCACTGTCATTGCATCCACAACCATGTTGCCATTGCTGCAATGAGCCCCCCCGCACTTCTCTGCGCACCGCCCAAAGGAGCCTCTGCGAGCCGGGCCTGTCCCTGGCGAACTACGCGAAGCCCACGCTCGGCACTGAGGGATCATAGCGACACTGATGCCGTAACAGGGTCCATTTCAGCCCCATCGATCCGATTCGGTTTCGATTTCGGCCAGCCCAGTCTGATTCGATCCCGATGTTACCCGATGCTTGCATGGCGCCGTTGTGCATCCTGGCACGGCCGATCCGATTTAATTTCGACTCCGTCCTCGATGCGGCCCGATCCGACGTACACTGCGATTCGATACGATACCCTGATCCTGTGCTGATTGATTTTGCAGTTCATCTAGGCATCGCGGAAACAAATGTAATGGCGTTTCCGTCCTTGTTTCGAGGCATGGGGCTCCCGCGGATCCATGTGGGCTCGAGGGACTTCGCCCAAAGCTGGGGCTGCGGGCTCCGGGCGTGATTTCTTCACGACGCTGCTGTCTTGTCACGCCGCCGGTCCTCGGGGCTCCACTTCCCTTCCCCTCCACTATTTTTGCATGTTTGGGCCTCTTGGGGGTGCTGGATTCGCCTCGGGATCCCTCTCCCAGACGACCTTGCGTAGTCCCTGTGCCCCCCTCCCCCTGGCATCTTGGGGATGGGGAGTCTAGCTGGGAGCCTCTGCGGGGTCCGGCTGGAACGGTCCGTCTCGCGGAGGTAGGTTCTGATGCCGCCCCCGATCCTGGTTCCCGGAATCCCACCGATTTTCTGAGGAATCCGATGGATTTCCCAAGGAATTCTTATGGCTTTCCTGAGGATTCCGACCGATCTCCTGAGGCATTCTGATTCTATGGGTTTCCTAAGGAATCCCATGGATTTCTTAAGGACTCCCATGGATTTCCTAAAAGGATGCCTATCCATGTCCTAAGGAGGTCCCTGGAGGCCTCTGGAGGTCTCCGACCCCGACCCCGCCTCGACCCATGGAAGGTCGGGGGCAAGCATTGGCACCTGGCGGAGGGGTGGCGACCCCCCTCCCAGGCCTCCGGCGTGCAGGTTTCTGTCGAGACCCCCGGCTTGCTCAGGTGGTCGTTTTCTGATTCGTTGTTTTGCCGATCGGCGCGGGCCTTCGCTCCCCCCTTCGCTCCCCCGCCCGGAGTCGATCTTGCCTGTTTTGGGCGCCTGTTTCGAGCATGTGGGGCCTCTCCCATAATGGACGCACTGCTGCAAACAGTCGCACGAAGCAGAGGTCCGGAGCCAGACTCCCCCCTTCCCTCTCCCTTCCTCCAAATGTCGAAGCGCCGAACAAGAAAACGCTCACCAGGCTCGGTGGGGGCCCCGAGATGCCGAAAGAGATGCCGAAAGAGATGAAGCACCTCTGTTTCGATTTGTTCGAGACGCCGGACGGATGTCTACATAGTCCAGTGGGGAGGGTCGGGACTTCTCGGGACCGCGTATTGTTGTTTGTTCAAGACGCCGTCCCCGGAGGTCCCGACCCTTCCCGAACCCCCTGGGCCAGTTTTTCGTTCCGAGTTGCTTTTTGACGGTCCCGGGCCTGGCGAATGCTCCTGGAGGTCGAAGACGGCGAAATGCCTCAGGACAACATTTCTCCATACGTTGTATGTCTGGCATCTGCCTGGCCTGAGGTATCGACGGCGAGGCTCCCCTAGGCCTTAGGGCCCTCTTGGGGGCCTCGTGGGCCGTGTGGCGCTGATTTGGGGAGACTTTGGGTCGACGTGGCCGCCGATGGAACCTAAGAAGCGAGAATGTCCTAGGAACGTACGTTTTCCCATTGGAAATGTTAGTTTTTCGCATCCGGGAGCCTTCTCAGCGTCGTCCTGGACCGTCTTCAGGGACTCCTGGGAGGTCTTTTGATAGCCCCCAAATCGCGTAGCGATTTGGGGGGTTGCCACTTCGCTCGCCGCTCCTCGTTGCCACTTCGCCGCCGCTCCTCGTCGCCATTGCCTTCCCGCAGTCAGCTTCGGTGACAGCGCCGCAACAGCCCTGAGGGAGGCTGCTCTGCAGGGCGGGACGCCCTGGCGCGCGTGGCCCGTGGCAGCGCCGCAACAGCCCTGAGGGAGGCTGCTCTGCAGGGCGGAACGCCCTGGCGCCAGTGGCCCGTGGCAGCGCCGCAACAGCCCTGAGGGAGGCTGCTCTGCAGGGTGGAACGCCCTGGCGCGCTTGGCCCGTGGCAGCGCCGCAACAGCCCTGAGGGAGGCTGCTCTGCAGGGCGGAACGCCCTGGCGCCAGTGGCCCGTGGCAGCGCCGCAACAGCCCTGAGGGAGGCTGCTCTGCAGGGTGGAACGCCCTGGCGCGCTTGGCCCGTGGCAGCGCCGCAACAGCCCTGAGGGAGGCTGCTCTGCAGGGCGGAACGCCCTGGCGCCAGTGGCCCGTGGCAACCCTGCAGCGCCGCAAGTGCGGTTTGTGCCCAGGTGTGCTCGTTTCGCAGCGGCTGCGGCCCAGGTGTGCCCAGTTCGCTTTCCCGCAAGTCGGGCACCATCTTCAGGCACGCAGTCCCGCAGGACGGGAGGTGCACCCGCAGGTCGGGCACCAGCTGCTGTCTTGCGCTCCCGCGGGCCGGGAGGTACGCCCGCAGGTCGGGCACACCCTGCAGCCGCTCTTCGTCATTTCTCCGCCGCTCCTCGTCCCCACTTCGGCGCTTGTGTCGCAGCGGCCGCGGCCCAGGTGTGCCCAGGTCGCTGGCGTGGCTGCCCCAGGTGTGGCGGCGCGTTCGGGCCCAGGTGTGCTCGTTTCGCAGCGGCCGCGGCCCAGGTGTGCCCAGCCGCGTCCGCGGCTGCCCCAGGTGCGGCGGTGCTTTCGGGCCCAGCTGTGCTCGTTTCGCGGCGGCTGCGGCCCAGGTGTGCCCAGGTCGCTTTTGTGGCTGCCCCAGGTGTGGCGGCGCGTTCGGGCCCAGGTGTGCTCATTTCACAGCGGCGGCCCAGGTGCGCCAAGTTCGTTTCCGCGGCTGCCCCAGGTGTGGCAGGGCGCTCGGGCCCAGGTGTGCTGTTTCTGTCGCGCCCTGTTCGCTCTTGTGGCTGCCCCAGGTTTGGCAACGCTGCGCGCCTCCCGTCGCCGCACTTGCCTTCGGTCCCTTCTTGCCGGCGCTCCTCGTCGCCAATTTCGCCGCCGCTCCTCGTCGCCACTTCTGCGCTTGTTTCACAGCAGCTGCGGCCCAGGTGTGCCCAGTTCGCTTCCGCGGCTGCCCCAGGTGGCGGCGCGTTCGGGCCCAATTGGGTTCGTTTCGCAGCAGCTGCGGCCCAGGTGTGCTTAGTTTGTTTCCGTGGCTGCCGCAGGTGTGCCGTCGCCTTCGGGCCCAGGCGCCCCGCAGGACGGGCAGTCGCCCACAGCACGGGCAGTGCGCCCGCACGGCGGGCCGCTATCCCGCAGGGCGGGAAGCGCACTTCCAGGATGAGGCCGCCGGCTAGGCGGGCAGCGAACCCGCAGGACGGGTCGCCATGCCGCAGGAGGCCTCAGGGGGAGCAGGGCGCCCACAGGCCGTCCGTGAGCGGGGCAGCCGCCCGCGCGGTGGGCAGAACGCACCCGCGGGACGGGTCGCCACTCCGCAGGACTAGTGCCCAGCGGGGCGCGGGTTCCCCAGGAGGGCTCAATTCCGCGTATTCGGGCGAGCCCGGACTTGCCATCGGTGCGCGATTCCACGTCTGCGAGCGCAGGCGCGCCCGGGGGCGCAACTAGTGCATAATTTCACGCGCTCGAAGCTGCGGAAGTGCGTGCGCGCGACTGGCGCAACCGGCGTGACCGGCACGACCGGCGCGACCAACGCTACTGGCGCGACCGGCGCGACCGGCACCAGCAACCGACGTGGCCGGCACGACCAGCGCGACCAGCGCAACCGGCACGACCGGCGCGACCGGCACCAGCGCAACCGGCGCGACCGGCGCGATTTGCGTGACCGGCACAACCGGCGCGACCAGTGCGAAAGGCGCGACCGGCGCAACCGGCACCGGCGCACCCAGCGCGACCGGCGCAACCGGCGTTGCCGGGCGACCGGCGCGACCAGCGCAACAGGCGCGACCGGCGCGACCGGCACCGGCGCAACCGGCGCAATCGGCGTGACCGGCACGGCCGGCGCGACCAGCGCAACTGGCGCAACCGGGGCGACCGGCGCGGCCTGCGCGACGGGCACCGGCGCGATTGGCGCAACCGGCGCGACCGGCACGGCCGGCGCGACCGGCGCAACTGGCGCGACCGGCGCGACCAGCCGGCGCGACCAGCGCGATCGGCACCGGCGCGACCGCCGGCACGACCGGCGCGGCCATGGCCACCGGCGCAACTGGCGCCGGCGCAACTGGCGCAACCAGCGCAACCGGCGTGACCGGCGCGGCCGGCGCGACCGGCGTGACCGGCGCGACCGGCGCGACCGGCGCGACAGGCGCGACCCGCGCGACCGGCGCGACCGGCGAGACCGGCGCCGGAGTGACCGGCACCGGCGCGACGCGCGTAATCGGCGCGACTCGCGCGACCGGCGACCGGCGCCACCGGCGCGACCGGCACCGGCGCAACCGGCGCGACCGGCGCAACCGGCGTGACCGGCGCGACCAGCGCGACCAGCGCAACCAGCGCGACCGGCGCGGCCAGTGCAAATGGGGCGACCGGCGCATCCGGCACCGGCCGCACCTGGCGTGACCGGCGCAACCGGCGTGGCCGGGCGACCGGCGCGGCCAGCGCAACAGACGCGACCGGCGCGACCGGCACTCGCGCAACCAGCGCAACCGGCGTGACCGGCACGGCCGGCGCGACCAGCGCAACCAGCGCGACCGGGGCGACTGGCGCGGCCTGCGCGACGAGCACTGGCGCAACCGGCGCGGTTGGCGCAACCGGCGCGACCGGCACGACCGGCGCGACCGGCGCGCCAGCGCGCCCGGCACCGGCGCGACCGCCGGCACGATAGCCACCGGCGCGACCGGCGCGACTGGCGCCGGCGCAACCGGCGCAACCGGCGCGACCGGCGCGACCGGCGCAACCGGCGTGACCGGCTCGACCGGCACGACCGGCGCGACAGGCGCGACGCGCGCGACCGGCGCGACCGGCGACACCGGCGCCGGAGTGACCGGCACCGGCGCGACACGCGCAACAGGCGCGACCCGCGCGCAACCGGCGCGGCCGGCGCAACCGGCGTGACCGGCGCGACCAGCGCGACCTGTGCAACCGGCGCAAGCGGCGCGACCGGCGCGACCAGCACCAGCGCGACCGGCACACGACGTGATCGGCGCTACTGGCGCGACCAGCGCAACTGGCGTGATTGGCGGGACCGGCGCGCCCGGCGCCGGCGCAACCGGCGTGACGTGACCGGCGCAACCGGCGTGACGTGACCGGCGCAACCGGCGTTACTGGCGCGACCGGCGCGACCTGCGCGACCGGCGCGGCCAGCGCGACCGGCACCGGCGCAACCGGCGCAACCGGCGCAACCGGCACGACCGGCACGACCGGCGCTGGCGCAACTGGTGCGACCAGCGCAACCGGCGTGGCCGGCGCGACCGGCGCAACCAGCGCAACCGGCGCGACCGGCGCGACCAGCACCGGCGGAACCGTCGCAGCCATCGCAACCGGCGCGACGGCCCAACCGGCG